TAAAATGAGTCAATGCAAGGTCACGATGAAGACAGAGGGCCCACCGGCGCTGCAGAGAGGAGACTGACAAAAACCAGGTATCCAAACGCTGTGCCTATTTGTCGTCGGTGTGTCCCCACCCGTGCTTGTGCTCGTTATGTTAGGTGGTAGGTAGCACGGAGTCAAAGGCTGGAGAAAAGTAGTAATTTGCTGTGCGTATGAGCAATTCCAACTCGGCCAGCGCTTGACTCGAGGAATATAAATCCGCAGGGATGGGGTGGGGGGAAGCTGGGCAACGCTGTTGGCGTCCAGTGTCAGTAACCTGCGGGGCGCCGAGTATCGGAGCGTGACACGCTTGAATACCCCTCATTCTAGTTGCTAAGTGCCCGTAGAGAAGGAATGCAGCGGCGCTTCACCAAGGCGCACTTCATGCCCGAGACTATATCACAACCGCGGCCCATTCGGTGCTCTGTGCACAACTCTGATACCAATGCGAACTTAGTTATTGACTGGAATAATAGAAAGCAACCATGGCCCATTTTTCAAATACAACTGGGCCATCGCCCACAGAATCCAGTCCATTCCATACCTGCACAATGAGACCTCACTCTCTCCTCAACAGACACATGCTTGACCATCCTTCATTGCGCATTAGGAAAAACAGTGAATGAGAGTGATCACACAATAGAACAGCAAATACTGCTATATGCAACGATACCTGGCCATTTGTAAGCGGCCCTCGTGCCCACACCGCCAACTTGGCACAGATATGTAGATACGCACCCTAACTCATCCTCCTGTCCTCGTGCTGTTGGCCGAGTCATCTGTTAGTTGTTCATAGGTCTCGACTTCAAGTTCTTAACCTTGCCTTCGCTAGAACCACGCACATGCATGGACCAGCGCGTAAACGCGACATAATTGTTTCCACGTAATAATACGTTTGCAGGCCTTGCAATTCGTCTCGCCTTCTTTAATGATACTGGCGTCTGCTCGTTCTGCTGCCAATGCAGCTGATGCTGTCACTCGGAGCGACACTGACGACATCGTCCTCCCACCTGCTGCCAGCACGGCTCTCCGGCGCAGGAGCACGCGCTGCTGGCATGAATGTAGGTGCTCGCGTGGCTGGCGGATATCCAAACACCTGTTGCTGGTTGGCGGCTCGAACAATGGTTGGAGGAGCCCGAACCGGAACCTTCGTAGGCGTTCTGCTCGGCGCTTTACTTGGCACATATGTCGGCGCATGACTGAGTGCTTTGGTCGGAGCTCTGCTGGGGGCGATGGTAGGGGCCCGACTGGGAGTAGCCGTGGGTGCCCGGTTGCGGACATCAGTCGGAGCTCTACTCGGAGCATAGGTGGGGGCTCTGCTCGGAACCACACTCGGAGCATCAGTGGGGGCTCTGCCTGAAACAATGCTTGGAGCCTGTGTCGGCGCGCGGCTGGGAGCCGTACTCCTGCCGCCCAGAATGGTCTCAACGGTGGGTGGCGGCGGGCGGACGGTTGACTGGGATCTAGCGCTTCTGGCCGAGACATAGGTTGCAGCGTCGTCGACCACGGTACGAGGCACGGCCGACTTGCCAGCAATGCTAAGTCCAGCGTTGCTTTGGTGCTCGTAGTCGGTGATCATGAGCGGAGCCGCCCTCGGAACAGCGGTCTGACTGCGAGAGTGAACGGTGCTGGCCCTCTCAAGCTGGTAACGGGACGCATGACTTCGGCCATCGTTATCGACGTCTTCGCGAGCCCGGCTGCCGGCTTGGCTGTATTTGGCCGCGTACTGATGCGGGACGCGGTTGTCAGGGAGGGTCTGGTACGCTTCGGGATAGCGAATCTTCTCGACAGTTCTCTCGACCTCGACGTAACGCGGTGCGGGCTGCTGATCCGAGTACTGCTCGGGGAAGGTAGCACGGCGTTGGAAGGGCGGAGCGGGACCAGCACCGTCAAATTCCTGGCTCGGAGCCTGCGCACGTTCCTTCTTTAACATGGTGTATGTCATGGCGGCGCCGGCGGCAGCTCCGACAGCCGCGCCCAGAAGACCTCCAAGGACGGTACTGGTCTGCAAACTGCTGCTCGGGGCGGCGGACTTGGCGGGCGAGGAAGCCAAATCATTGTTGGCTGACGGTGAGGTTTCGATAATGGACGTGGTGACACTGCGGCGGAGTAGTGTGTACGGCTCGTTGCCAGGGCATTGGCCGGCTTGGGAGGTCATGGCTCTAGAGGCGGAGGGTCTGGCAGGCGCAGCGGCGGCAGAGCGTGATGGCGAAGATTTTGCAACGTCGTAGTTCCAGTTAAGGATGCGACTGACTTCGTCGTGTGTTGATTGGGTTTTTCGAACGGTAGAGCCAGCATAGGAGGAAGGGTAGTTGGGAGGGGGTTGATATACCACTTCCATGGTGTTACCGTCCAAGTCGGTGACAACGGCGCGGTGGGTATCGCCACTTTGGGTTATGGCAGCGGGGCGGGAGATGGACAGGAGAGCAGGGTTAGCACGCAGGGTATAGGAGTGGAAGTCGGTGACAACGGTGGGGGATGGAGCAGAGAAGACAACGCGGGACTTCTTCAGGGGCTCGAAAGAATTGCGGGCCTCGCGGATCTTGAAGACGGGGGTCGGCGGGGATGATGTTTGATCACGAAAACCGTAGGTAACTGCGGCGGGAAGCCTAGCAAGCTCACACCTCGGACGGGTGGTGATGGTCGTCCTGGAGTCGTTGTCGTCGTCGTCGTCGTCCTCGTTGGCAGCGGTCAACGTGTCGGTGGATATATAGCGGAGGCCGAGGGGTTGGAGGACGGCCGAGTAGAAGGAGGCTGACGAGGGCAGGTGGGAGACATCGAAGTAGGGGGTCATCTGGGGTGTCGGGGATGAGCACGGAAGCAGGCAACAATAATGAGATCTTATGGAGACGGAGACGGAGACGGGGATAGGGATATGGACGGGGATGAAGTTGGGGTTGGTGGCTTGGCTTGGCCTGGCTACCTAGTAGGTAGGGTAGAATTTGGGTTGGAGGATGGCTGGCTGCTTGTTGCACTTTTGGTTATGATGGTGTACATGAACGCGAAACGTGAGGTGGTAGAGGCAAGATGGGTTTTAACTGTCTTGAGAGCGAGCATTTAACGCTTTGGGCCATCTCTTCCATTCCAGTATTTGAGGCGAAGAAAAGAACGTCTTCCGATTGGGATGCCCTTTTGGAACTATTTGGAAGGGAAAACAAACAAATAGAAGACATCCGTAATTTGCGTACGTGCCTTACCTGGCAAGAGTCTAGAAACAGGTCAGTCCGTGATGGCGGTTCCGTGTCGATGCGGCCATCGAGTGCCCATGCCCAAATGCTACCGGCCAATGGAGCCTGCTGGCTGCTCGGGTCTGGTCACTTCTCTTCGCCCCATCACAGTCTGACTGAGTTGGTGGTCTCTGCATCCAGTCCAATCCGACCGACTCCAAGACGGCCACCTCTGCCGGGGATGCTGCCGGAGACCACCAGGCGCCGTCGAGGGCAGCATCTCCTCGGCCAACATTTCGTGCCTACCTTAGGTGCACTAAGGTAAGCTAGGAGTGTGGTAGGTTCCTTACGTGGTAAGATACGTTTCGATGGATGTGCTGTAGGCTCGCCCCGCCAGACAGCGAAAGAACAACCGCAATGCCTCGGTCAGTATCAGTATTAAGGTATCCTTCAACGGTATGAGAGACTGGCCCAAGATACCGGGGAAGAGGAGGGAGGGGGCGTCTTAAGCCCAACCCAATGGAAGCCGCCTACTATGTATACCTTACAGAAATCGTGTCATGCCGTGTCTGGCCACCACTCGGTTACCAGACCCCGCTGCCCCATTGCCATCCCACCCGCACCACAGTTCGTTCGCGTTGGAAACGTGCACTTTTCCCATCCTGCTTCAACGCCCAATCATCAGCGTGACAATCCCCCAGTCCCAGCTGCAACTCACCGCAACGTCTGCCGCTCCGAATCACTGCGCAGAGCCTGAGTCCCGAATGGAACCTGATGCATACCACCGGCTTCGCGTCCCTCTCGCCCCTCGCCTCAGATGACAGGTCTCTCACATCCCGCCTCACTCTTTTGCTCATTGGGTGGCCGTAAACCCTGCTCTTATTTCGCTGCCCAACCTAGCCTCCCGTCTTTTCAAGTCTGATGGAAATGCTCAGGGATTTCTTACCGCCCATGACATGCACTAGGAATCCCTAAATAGCCGACTTCTATCAAGTATCCTCCTCCCGGGTTTTCCGCCGTTCTTCCGCTCTCAAACGTGCCCCCTGACAGCATTATGGAACATTCTACTACTATTCAACATGAGGCGACAGTAAACATCTGTAGACCTATCGCGGCCACCAAATAAGGCCACACGCGCGCTGATGTGTCATTTCTCCGGTGACCACCGCACGAGATCACCAGTTGCTTTATTGAGGTAGTCGTTTACATTGGTGAGATTCTATGTTCAATTGGATAGGCCTCTCAGCAGTGCTACAGTCCGCACGCCCATATAAGTACGGCAACTGAGGCGATCCCTATTTGGTACTTAATTACCCATAAACAAGCCCGAAAACCCTCTAGCTATCAATTCAGCGACGAGGAGTCACTCTCTGCCTGCCTCCCCACCTTATGACCATGGCCAAGAAAACAAAGAGTATTACCACAGCTGAAGAGGTCCCTGCAACCAACCACGCATGATCAATGATGACGGCAGAAAATGCTATGTCGACTTGATGTGACACGAATGGATGAGGAGAGCATGTTAAACATCGATGGATGCCCCAGTTTTGGTTGTAAAATAGTGGAAGTGCAAGCACAGGCGAAGCGAGTTCCAGAGGCTACGGCTGCCGACCACAACATTGTATCGTGCTCTTCCTGCTGCGCCCGTGGCTTTCGATGTACGAGTTGATGGCGCTGTGTCCTGCAGATCGGGGAACCAAAGAACGTGCCAGCATGGGCCAACGTCGCATACAGTCCAGGTCCAGCAGCAGCTTGTGTTCCGCTACACTCACTCACCAGCCGCGAGTCAATGGCGTGGGGCACTCGCAATTACTGAATGTCCCAGCAGTCCTCGGCGGCATGACAGAACTTGCTGCAGGCAACACTAGCTGACAAGCTGTAGTTGCTGATGGATATCTTCTCGTCCACGAGGCCATCGGCAAAAGTATCTGCACCTTTCGCCATGGCACCCACAAAGACGCAAACACTCTCCTTCGGACCCAAGGTATCGATGTAGTCCCTGCACTTCACCAAGGGGGCCTCGAAGCTGAGTGTAACCTTGCGGCAGTTGGGAGGCAGGTGGTCGGTGATGGGATTCTGGATGACACGCAAGAGCTTCTCCTGCGAGTTGGTGGAGCGGATAGACAGACGGTGCAGCAGTTGGACCATCAAACCAGCAAAGCGTTTGAAAGTTCGCGGAATGCGAACCGAGGGCGATACTTCAATCAAGACACCTTTGGCAGTGTGGATGTAAATCTGAAGTTTGCCAGCCTTGTTGATAGGTGAGTCGAGCAGGGTGAGAAGACACTGGTCAGTATGGTCAGCATGTTGAATGCAGACATGAGTAGAGCGCGTTGGGGCGCGTAAAATGCAAAGCAGTGTATTGGTAGTGTCCAACCTGGTGAGTAATGTCAGGGCGCGCGTCACTGATATCGCGGTTCATCTTGCGCATGACTCCAATATGCTCGTCACTGTTCAGCAGCGAGTACTTCTCCTCTCTCTGGACGCCATTCCGACCAGTTCCGCCGTGGGATGCTTTGTACGTCTCGAGGCTGGCATTAGACAGGACAACGATTAAACGCTGGGAGTCCTTGTCTGCAGGGGGGATCGGGACATTCTGTTCGGCAACAAGCTGTGGGAGCGCCGGAGGGGGAAGCGACTGAGTGCCTGTAAGAATTGATACATTAGCCAAGATGCGATGACATTGAAGCGATCAAGCTGCGGTCTTGCCCCGGGACGTTGAGTCTGCCATCACCGCTGAAGCAGTGCGCGATTTACACGGAAAGCTTTGCCTCTGGTTTCTACTGATGGTCGCAAACACTTCAGACGGTAGCAACGTTTGATCAGGCCCACGGAACAAATGCGCAAAATGTTGCACGAGATTACCTGGAGGGCAGGCGGGCAGTACGAAGAAAAGAAGAGACGGGGAAACACCAGGTGCGGTTGTTTAGGAGGAAAAGGCATCTGAACTTACGAGGTCGCTTTACTCCAGCACGGGCCTCGGGTGAAGACATTTTTTTTTCGAAGGGGATGGAGGCAGGGAGCAGGAGCAAAGGAGGGGTTAAACCGACAAGTAAACAGAACTGCGCTAGGTCATGCACGGTAAGGCTACCGCGAATTGGGTAAGTAGGGACGGAATGCCGCAGAATGTGCGTTGTAACACAGAAGGACGAGGACGATGATGATGGGAGGCGTGCGAGGAATGGAGGTTTAATATCCGTCACAGTTGGGGCAAGGTGAAAGTTTGCGACGTCGTTCCATTGCGCGCGCCGACCGGCCTTACCTACCTTGGTCAAAGAGGCAGGAGGGCACCCGAGGGCGGGGCACAACACAGGAGTCTGCCCGCCCGGCAGAAAGAAAAGCTACATCCATTCCCAAATTAGGTAAGTCGGAGTATAGTTAGACAAGCAACACTAGGTGGGTCAGCTAATAGGCAACCTTAAAGGTGTGAAAGCATTAAGGTACCTAAGTACTAAGGTGTGAGATATTATACTTTTTATATAGATATTAATATATTTATACTACTAACGCTAAATAAATAAA